CAGAAACAATTTGCTTTCACATGGAAGAGACATTAGTAAACTCCAGAGCTATGTGAGCTCTCCTGCCTTGTCATAATACAGTCCGCATGGTCCTTGATCATCTGGACATCTCACATAATATCATTGTTTGCAACACACTGTTTGGGTCTTTTGAGGAGAAAAATAGCAAGAATCTTAGATGTCATGCTAACGCAAATGTATGCCAAGAGGTAGAAGAAAAATCCCACAAAATTCAAGGGCTTGACAGGGATGCCATTTCTGAGGAACATGTAGACATATTGCTCTAGACAAGTTCTTACACCTAGTACCACTTTCAGCTAAATCAGCAGCACAATGACAATGTGACTCTGAGTACTGGAGGAAACATATTGCATCCGACTTATTTATTGAGAAACTGATAACCCTGCCAATTTTGAGCGAGGCCCGTGGCAAGTGAGGCCATAGTTCTATCTGTCTATCTGTCTATCTATCTATCTATCTATCTATCTATCTATCTATCTATCTATCTATCTATCTATCTATTTTAGAAATCAGGATTTATTGAGAGGACAGAAAAGCTCCCACAGTGGGAGGGGACCCAAATGGGTTGCCCGGCCATAGTTCTATTTAAGGTACAATCTGCAAAGCGAGGTTTGTGCCACTTAACAGATTCAAGTGGCAAATACAGATACTAGATGAAGCGTTTTGCCTGGTTCACACAGAGCATGAATGTTTGATACATGAAAAATTTACTTGAGCTATGACTCCCCTACTCACCATGAACTTAATGCTCTCTGATACAACAAACTAAAAGCTTGGATGGATGCATGTGTAATTCATAATGAAATGGAAGTTGTTGATATGAAGTTGGACTTGGGTAGATAGAAAAATTGGTGACAAGAAAGTTTGAGGTCCTTTTGAAGTTTCTGGAATAGGCAGAGTGTGTTGAGATATGTGTCTCATGAAAATGCTCACCAAAGAGCAATCTTTCTATAGCCACCACAGTGCTTACTAAATGGGCCTATATGTACAAAGTGATCTCAGTGCAGGGATGGAGACTGTGCCTAGACTCAGTAAGATAGACTTCCTCTCATCAGTAATGATTTGGCTATCTCCACTGCTAAATCTCTAACCTGCCAACAGCAGAGGCCACCTGAGTACCTCACATGGTAGCTTTCTTCTCAGGGACCATCTGGCTGCTGGTGGCATATTGGTTACCTTTGATCTTTTCCATCATGGAAAAGGAGTAAGTTTGTCCTCAAGCATAGCCTCAGTACAACATGCTTTCCTTTCTTACAGTTCTTCTGTCAGAACCACCATGTGTGGTCTTATAGAATGTTTTATTCATTGCCTCTGGCTAGGAGACATTTTATGGTGAAGTAAGTGCAACAATAGACTCATGCCTATGAGTCCATTGGTCTTACCATGCGACCCATGCTTGAATGCAGCTCATTTAATTAAATGGCTTGCTGAAGATTCAGTTCAGTTACAATGCCAGCTGTCCTAAAAGTTGTGGAGTATGCCTAGAATAGTGTCTCCTATATCATTCTATCTTCTCCATAGCCAGAATGCATGAGGCAGAGGTGTGAGGTTCTCTTTCACGATGACACCAAATAATCTAATGAGGTAATTATGATTTCCATTTCTGCAAGCTTGGGTTTGGTGGGTTTGGAGACCTGGTATATAAGGAAGCAATGTTCCCATCAGGAAACACAGTCACGATCCTGTTGGTTAGAACTTGAGACTTCCCTGGCTGTTTTGCATTATCATTATGTGGAATTAACAGCCAGAGAAGGGTTTCTCTGTACTGGTTTGGGGGACTGATTATAATGATCAAGAAAAACGTTGGTTGCTACTACACAGTAGTGGAATGGGGGCTGTATTTAGAACTCAAAGTGTTCATTGGGAGCCTCTTACTACTATCTTATCCAACAGCCCTTGTTAAAGAAAAACTGACAATCTAGTAAGGAAACTTGGATCTCATAGGGAAAAGAATGCCATCCCACCAGGTAAAGAACCCTATCTAACAGAATTTCCAGAATAAGGTAAGGAACATGGAATGGGTGGTGAAAGAAAGAAGTGATAAATATGAATTTGACCTTGTGACCAGTTACAGAAATGAGGACTGCAGCTGGCATGCATATTCTTCTTATCTAGATATTGTAAATATAAATTATGTTATATATTTTTATGTATAAACATGTTATATGTTAGTCAATAATTTATTTTCCCTTTTTCCATTTCTTTTTTTTTTTTTTGAGTTGGAGTCTCACTCTGTCGCCCAGACTGGAGTGCAGTGGCCGCTCCTGGCCACCGCGGCCTCGACCTGCTGGGCTTCAGTGAACCTGCCGCCTTAGCCTTCCAAGTAGCCGGAATTACAGGCATGTGCTACCACACCCGGCTGATTTTTTGATTTATTGTAGGGATGAGGTCTCGCCAAGTTACCCAGGCGGGTCTTGAACCCGCGGGATCAGGCAATCCACTCACCTCAGCCTCCAAAAGGCACGGGATTACAGGCTGAGCCACCAAGCCCGGCTTCCATTTCTTATTTTTTTATTTATTTCTAATTTATTTTTACAGAGACGAGGCCTCGCTCTGGCTGGACTCAAACTCCTGGACTCAAGCAATCCTCCCATCTCAACCTCCCAAAGTGCTGGGATTACAGGCATGAGCCACCACACTCAGCCATCCTTCTCCAATTATTTTTTTAATGACGAGTGTTAGTTATTCTTGTGAAAGTTTTCAAAATAAAAGTGGAGTTACTTGTGTCAAACCCTAACAAAAAATTATAAAGGCCAAGAAGGGAGGAACCTGATGCACACATGCCTATGATAAGAATGATTACCAAGATTCTCTGAAAAGCCCCTACATACATATGACTGTAACAATAACTTTTTTTTTTTTTTTTTGAGTTGGAGTCTCATTCTGTTGCCCAGACTGGAGTGCAATGGCCGCTCCCGGTCACCGCAGCCTCGACCTGCTGGGCTCCAGCGATCCTTCCACCTCAGCCTTCCAAGTAGCCGGAATTACAGGCACGCGCTACCACGCCCAGCTAATTTTTTGATTTATTGTAGAGATGAGGTCTTGCCTGCCCAGGCAATATACTCACCTCAGCCTCCCAAAGGCGCGGGTTTACAGACTGAGCCACCGAGCCCGGCTTGTAACAAGAACTTTTGCCAAGGACTTTCTGCACTGCAGGTTGCTACATGAGTCACAAGGACAGCTAGCCAGATGCACAAAAACACTTGCTTGACACAGTCTCCGATAATGAGCAAGCTTTGTAACCAATGCTACTTTTTTTCCGAAACAATTTGTGTGTACTTCTTCCTTTTGCTTTTAAAAGCATCCCCTTACTTCAACCTCTTTGGATGTGCCTGTGGTCCCCAATACTCACATATCTCAGATTCACAAATCCCTTGCACACTTTCAAATAAACTCAATATCTTTGGAGAATCTCTCTGTTTTTAGGCTGATATTCTTGTCTTAATTTATCTCAGAGTTCACAAAACTCTGCAGGTAAGGAGCTACATACAGTCCCGATGAAGAGGATTTCATGGCATCTGGGCTTCCTGAACATGGTGAGTGATACTATGTCAGATGGGACTGTATATTCCACCTTTTGGGGAAGAAACTGTCCATTTGCACAAAAGGTAATTGAATTCTACTAGATAAAAGCGTGAAGTCATTTTATGAGACTTAGGAATGGGTAGAAGGGTGAAATTAGGTGCTTTGTGATGAAATGGATGGGCGGTAGTAGCCATTTGCCTGTTCGCTCTTGAATCTATCTTTCATTTTTCCTGTGCTCTGGTCAATGTGGCAGAGGCCACGTATTAGCCAGACTCCCTTGCTCTCTGACTACTGCATAGCATTAAGCAATGAAAAACACTAAGAGAAGAGAATAGGGTAGGAGAAGGGGCTGGATCTCTCCCGTCCCCTACTATGAGTTGCATACCTAGCAGTAGCTGGAATTCCTCTCTTTGTTGTGTCAGCACATGCCAGGTAACTTCTGCTAGGTTCTAGCTCTTTCTAGATATCCTACATTTTTCTCTCCATTCCTCAGGATGCTATGGCTTTCTATGGCCTTTATTAAAACATGTGTGTGTGTGTGTGTGTGTGTGTGTGTGTGTGTGTGTGTGTGTTGCCTCATTTTCCCTTGTTTCTCTCTCAGCTCTTTTGTCACCTTTATGTCCAATTCCCTGTAATAAATTCCCAGTTTGAAATACCTAGAATAGTAGTTTCTGTTTTACTAGCTAGACCTTGTCTACTGAGGAGATTGTGTGTGTGTTTGTGTGTGTGTGTGTTTGTGTGTGTGTGATAGAAGTCAATTGGTATAAAATGTTATCTAAGCAGTGTGTGAGTAGATCATCTACGTGTATATATATATTCATGTAGTGAGTATATAAATGCATATATAAGAAATACAGAGAGATATGTTTTCAAAGGGAGAGTAAAAGAGGGATTTCCATTTTCTCTCTGTATATTTTTATTTTCTCTTATACGTTTTTACCACATAGTTTTGTAGTTTTAAAGCATATAGTTCTTTTTGAGTGAGTCAAAGTTTCCAAAGTGACTGTCTGCCCACCTGGTGGCAGTTTTAATATTCATAAAGTTTTACATACAGGGGATATAGTTGTATAGTTGCAGGGTTATTCCTTTACCAATACATCTAGACAACTCCTTTCCTTAAGCAATATAAAAATGTATTTCAGGTTTTATCTTCTTGTGACGAAATACATGTTACAATCTACGTTAGATCTATATGATCTAACAAATAATACTTCCTTGACGTTCATATTGCCATCTGATTTCAAGAAACTCAATTCTGTAACTACTAAATCCTATGTTTCGAAATAAATGTGAGAAAAAGTATGAGTCTGCTGTGTGGTGGGATTGCCACTTTGCTAGTGATTTTTAGTGCAATAATTTGTCAAATGCTAATTTTCTAAGGAATAAGGATATTTTCTAAAGACTAAGACAAAACGATGTTCTTAAACTCAGAAATGTGAAGGAAGAGTTATAAATTATGCTATCACTCTAAGTAATTTATAATTCTTAAGACTCCAAGACATTTTGACAGTTTTGATATCAAGATTCCTATTGTGATGGACATCCCAGCAATATTCTGGTGATAAGATTTTAGTGGGCTTATGGAGAAAGAAATACTTGTTTAAGTGACTTTCATCATGCCACACTGCTTCAATGTTATTTTTCTTGTCTTTCATGATTCCTTTGGAACACTCCTTGGCAATATTGAGAACCTGAGTGGGAGTACCACCAAAAACAGCAGCATGGTAATAAAAATCGCCCTTACCCATAGGTATATAAGCTTCTGATTGCTGATCTCTCTCATAAGGTATACTGCTAACATTTGTCTGATACCAGTGAGCATGTAATTGAGCTACTGACTCCCCCAGAGTCTCCAATCCATATTTGTTTCTGAAGACTTGATCCACATCCATGCAGAAGAGGAAGTCAACTTCATACTGGATGTGATCAACAATGTGTTCGCTGATGATCTTCATGCGCGTCATACTGATGTCTTGCCATCTCCTCTCTCGTTTGATTTCAAAAACTTTGAATGTACGACGGGGACCCAGATATATCCAAGGCATCTTGGAGAAGTCATCTACCATGACGTAAATGATAACTTTCTGGTCAACCATAAAAAACCGATTGGCAGATGACAAAAATCTGTACAAATAGAACTCGATGTATCTGTGAAGTAAATAAGAAGTAATTAAGTTCATTGCATATTGTAGTAGTACACATTATTTAAATTACACTTTGGGTTATCCAGCAATGCTAATAAGCAATGAAATATTAGATATGCTTCTCAGGCTGTACTTAGTATAGAAGACAGTAAAATTATCTGCCTTTCTTTTCCCTGATGGGGTTCTACAGATGACAGGAGAGAAGAGAAGTTCCTCACAAGAGGGAATGAAATTTGGTGAGATCAGAAAATTGAACAGAGCCCAGCACAAAATGAGAGTCAGAATTGTTAAGGTTATCAAAGCAATAGAAACTTGCTTCAGGGGTTGTAGGTAGGAAAAGCCTTGGGTCATTGCAGAAGGAGTTATCACTGTCAGTGACTTGCTTTATGAGTCGTCAGTTACATATACATGATCCAAGGTTGCAAAGTCAGTAATTCACCATCTACGCTGTTTTCTTATTTTGCCTTGTGGCCCTTGTTATGATGCTAGAATAGCTGGGATGGAAAGCAAAACTTTATTTCTAGTCTCTCAAGTCAGTAAAAGAGTCTCACAGTGATAAATGGCCTCAGGTAAATTCAGATGTGGCTCATCTTAAATAATATCTATATAACTCTTAAAAAAGAATTCTGAATATTGATCTAAGTTTAAGAAATGTAGCAAATTAGAGGTCACGAGAAAACTTACTAGTTCAGAACATCTAAAATTATTAGGTAAATTATGAAAAATATCACTTAAAATATTCTATTGGACTGAGAGCTGGCAACTCAAATCCAAAGAAGTCCAATTTGCCCACATTTCTTTTATGGTTAGAGTTTTTGTGTGATGTTTCAGAAGTCTTTGCCTCCTTAAGGTTATGAAAATATCCTTCTACATTGTCTTCTAGTCATCTTATCACTTTATCTTTCACACTTTAAGTCTATTATCCATTAATTTTTGTGGATGGTGCAAGTAGGGAAAATTTAAATTTTTTTCAATTTTGAGGAGATTTTCTACTTTGGAATGATATTAGATTTACAGAAAAGTTGCAATTATATGATAGAGACTTCCTATATACTTTTTTTTTTGAGTTGGAGTCTCACTCAGTCGCCCAGACTGGAGTGCAGTGGCCCACAGCCTCAACCTGCTGGGCTCTGGCGATACTTTCGCCTCAGCCTTCCAAGTAGCTGGAACTACAGGTGAGCGCTACCACACCCGGCTAATTTTTTTGATTTATTGTAGAGATAAGGTCTCGTCAAGTTGCCCAGGTGGGTCTCGAACCCATGAGCTCAGGCAATCCACTCACCTCGGCCTCCCAAAGCAGGGGATTACAGGCTGAGCCACTGAACCCGGCCCCTATATACATTTTATACAGCTTCTCCTAACATTAATACCTAATGTAGCCATTGTACATGTGTTAAAGCTAGGAAATTATGAGTGGTATAAAATACTATTAACTAAACTACAGGTTTTATTTTGCTTTCACCAGTTTTCTCCCTAATGACATTTTTAGTTTCCATAATCCAATCCAGGATACAAATTACATTTAGTCATTACATCTCCTTAGTCTCCTCTTGTCTGTGTCAGTTTCATTCTTTGTTATTCAGGATCCTAAGTGTTTAATGGTCCTGATCAGGTATTTGCTTGTTTTGAGACAGGGTCTCACTCTGTCACCAAAGTTTGAGTGCAGTGGTGTGATCCCAGCTCACTGCAGCCTCAACCTACTGGACTCAAGTGATCCTCCCATCTCAGCCTCCCAAGTAGCTGGAACAACAGATGTGTGTCACCACACACTGCTAATATTCTTTAAAAATTTTTTTTTGTAGAGATGAGGTCTCACTCTATTGTCTAGGCTGGTCTCGAACTCCTGGGCTCAAGTGATCCTCCTGCCCTGGACTCCCATAGTGCTGGGATTACAGGCATGAGCCACCGTGCTGGCCCTCATGAGGTATTTTGCAGAATGTTCCTCAATTTGGTTTTTTTTCAAAGGCTTGTTCTTTTCTTTCTGGTCTTTATCAAAGAACTAGTTTGTTTTTGTTTTGATGATTCTATTTTTTAAAATTCTCTGTTTCATTTGTCTTTGTTTTAATCTTTATTGCTTTCTTTTTCTGCTTGCTTTACGCTTATTTATAGTTATAAATTTCCGTCTGAGCACTGCTTTTTCTGTATCCCATAAATTTTGATATGATGTGTAATTTTGCTCATTCATATCAAAGTATTTTCTGATTTTCCTTGTGATTTCATCTTTGGTTTATTGGATGTTTATGAGTATGTTGTTTAATTTCCACATATTTGTGAATTTTTTAGATTTTCTTCTGTGATTGATTTTTAATTTCATTTCCTCTCATTGTAGTCATAGAAGAAATTTGGTTTAATTTCAATTTTTAAAATTATATTGAGAATTTTGTGGTCTAAAATATGGTCTACCCTGAAGAATGTTTTATGTGCACTTAAGAATGCCTATTCATTGAGTGGACTGTTCTATCTATGTTTGTTATAGCACGAAATGCATACATACACTAGAAAAGAGGCTGAGTAAAAGAGAATGACACTGCTAAAACATGATATTATTTAATCTTGGTGAATCATAAATGCTACAAACAGAGTTGTCTCTGCTCAGCAACACCACCAACGTGGAATGGGATATCTGAACCAATACCACTGTGGTCCATTTATGCCCCAGATCTCATCACTTTGGGTAAGGAATAATCAGTTGGGTTTGGGAGTAGGGGCTGTTCCACCCATTTTGAACATTCAGAGCACACTCTGAGGTTTGTAGGTGTATCCATTCAATTTGATGTCTTCTCTATACTTGGTCCAAATTTTACATTAGTCAAATAATCTTCAAAGTTAAATGTTTGATTTGGAATATTTTCTAGTTTCATTGAACTTAAAGCTTTCTTCTTTTTATCTATATTTGTTGTTTTCATAGGGTTTCAGTAGAAGATCAATGCAATGGCTGGATTCATCCATCATTAAATGACAATATTTAATTATAATTGGTTTTGTTTTGTTTTATTTTTGAGTTGGAGTCTCACTCTGTCGCCCAGGCTGGAGTACAGTGGCACTCTTACAGCCAAGTCAGCCTCAACCTGCTGGGCTCAGGTGATCCTTCAGCCTCAGCCTTCCAAGTAGCTGGAACTATAGGCACGCACCATCACACCCAGTTTATTTTTTTATTTATTGCAGAGATTGCATTCTCACCAATTTGTCCAGGCCGGTCTTGAACCCATGGACTCAGGCAATCCTCTCACCTTGGCCTCCCAAAGTGCTGGGATTATAGGTGTGGGCCACCACACCTGGCCTTGTAATTATTTTTTTTAGAAGTCTAATGGCTTTGATTTTCTATTTAATTAGGAATTAAGATAAAATTGCTTTTATTTTAAAATTACTGGATAATTTAATGTACACTTTTTATTTATTTTATTATAATTATGAGAAAATGTAGCAGGTAAAATTATACTACAGATAATTGCAGTTAACTTGTTTTGTTTTTTGTTTTTGAGTTGAAGTCTCACTGTCACTCAGACTGGAGTGTAGTGGCCGCTCCTGGCCACTGCAGCCTGGACCCGCTGGGCTCTGGCGATCCTTCCACCTCAGCCTTCCAAGTAGCTGGAACTACAGGCGCCTGCTACCACACCCGGCTAATTTTTGATTTATTGTAGAGATGAGGTCTCGCCAAGTTGCCCAGGCGGGTCTCGAACCCACGGGCTCAGGCAATCCACTCACCTTGGCCTCCCAAAGCTCTGGGATTACAGGCTGAGTCACCGAGCCCGGCCTGTTAACTTGTTTTATTGTATATTGGATTACTGTTCCTGTGAGGGGGTCAGTAAGCACAGTTAAGAAAGTTTATCTGAAAGTTTCTAACTTGGGAAAAACACAGGAGGGAGCAAATTATTGGGCTGATTTTATGTAGACACAAGAATGTCTATAGCAGAAGCATAAACTTTTTTGAAGGAATAGAGGATATTTTAAATGACAATAAATCTGTCAATAGACCCAGGAAATTAAGTTAATATTGGGAGAAGATTGTAAAATCAGATGGTAGAAAAGAAACTGAGGGGTTGGGACTTTTTTAAAACAGTTTTTTGGGCTGGACACAGTGGCTCATTCCAATAATCTTTGGGAGGCCAAGGCAGGAGGATTGCTTAAGCACAGGAGTTCAAGACCAGCTTGGGCAACACAGTGAGACCTTGTCATCACAAAAAATGTTTTAAAAATTAGCCAGGCATGGTGTCATGTGCCTGGAGTCCCAGCTACTCAGGAAACCGGGGTGGAAGGATTGCCTGAGCCCAGAAGGTCAAGGCTGTGATGCCACCGCACTCCGGCCTGGGCACAGAGTGAGACTCTGACTTAAAAAAAAAAAAAAAATAGTTTTAGGGTTTTTTGTTTGTTGGTTCATTTGTTTGTTTGTTATAGGGTCTTGCTCTGTCACCTAGGCTGAAGTGCAATGGCACAATCATAGCTCCCTGCAGCCTCGAATTCCTGGGCTGAAGCAATCCTCCTGCCTCAGCTTCCTGTGTAACTGGGACTACAGGCATGTGCCACTATATCTGGCTAGGTTTTTTTTTTTAATTAAAAAAAAATTTTTTTAGAGGTGAGGTGTCACTGTGTTGACCACACTGGTCTCGAACTCCTGGCCTCAAGCAATCCTCCCACCTTGGCCCCCAAAGCACCGAGATTACAGACATGAGCCACCGTGCCTGGCCTGGGGTGTTTTTTGAGTGGACTAAGTGGATGATAATATTTAGAATTATGGCAGGAATTGATCTAGAGAGAACAATTAAGTGAAGTTAAGTTATGAGGTCCTTCAGCAGATTAGCTTCCATTTTCTACAATAAAAAACCTGAATGTAAAGGACATCTGTCATCATGACCTACCTTCCCACAGCAAACACAGTCAACCCCACAGTAATTTTATGATTTGCATAATAATTTTTCAAGACTGACTCATTGTAAGTGCCATGCCACACAACTGGAGCTGACCATTCAGTAGTAGTCACGTTCATGGATGCACTGTAAGAAAGACATAGCATTTTTGAACATTATAATAAAACAGCAGGCAGTATTAGTAACTACTAAAGCCTTGAGTCTAATTGCATCTCCTTACACCTAACCCAAAGCCTTGATGATTATAATAAACTGGAGAAGCAGTATATAAGAAATGGCCAGATCATTTTTAAAAGTATACTTACAGTTAGATATATTGTGATTCCAAGATCTTTGAAGACATCTAGTTGAAATGTCTTCCAAAATCTGAGGTAATAATGTCTCTTATATTTGGTTAAAACTAAAACCTCCTAGTCTTAGGGGGTTTTATTGAAATTATTTTCAAAGGCCATATTTTTAAAAATGAACTTTCCAATATTCACAATCTAAAATGCTGCCATGCTAATATTGCTGTATACTGTCAGAATTCACTTTTTGGAATTCTGGAAAATGGTTGAAGGTTTAGCACAATCAAGTAAAATTAAACCAAGAAAAAGATGATTCAACATGGTAGGAATAGAAAAGTTTTGTGGTATTTTTTAACTTAGCCTTGACTCAACTCCCTGCCCTGTAGGCAGCAGTACTGAAGACAGTAGACCATGTTCCCAGTGTGGGTATCTGGTTCTAGAGGGAACTTTATTCAGAAGAAATTATGTTTGTTTGTTTTGACCTGTCTGAGGGTTCCCTGAAACCCTTTCCCTGAAAGCACTTTCCTTTGTTTCACCTAACTCAGACCTCTTTCAGAGTGGAAAAGTGGTTAGGTGGAGGGCATTCCCCGAATACATTAAAAAAATAAAAGTCCTTGCCACCCTGCAAAAGATTATAGTTGAGGCAAACACTAGAGATGCTAAAAGCCTGGGAGGAAAACCTGGAAAGAGAGTTAACTTTAGAAAGTAAGGCTTCTGACAGTCTACCATGCATAATGGGATATTTGGAAATCCACACACATGCCCAGGACAGGATATGTGCTCAGAAAATACTTGAGGAGACCCTAAGCCTTTACTTCTGGTTGATATTTAGGCTTGGGGTAAACAGGAGTTAAGGCTAAGGCAGAGTTATACACAGCTGGGCTAAGCATTGAAGGAGGACCCAACTATAGAGCTAATTTACAAAAACTAAGAAATGTTCTTTCTTTATTCCTTCCTTCCTTTATCTTCCTTCTCTTTCTCCTTCACCTTCTCCTTCTCCTTTCTCTCTTTTCCCTACTCTTCCTCCACTTCTTCCTTCTTCTGTTTCTACTTCTTCTTCCTCTTTCTCTACCCCCAGGCATCTAGAGCAATCTCATGAAACCATTAACTGACCACAAGCTAGAGGAAATACAGTCTCAGAGATCAAAATATACAAAGAATAAAGTCTTTACACATAGTCTAGAAAAGTACTAAACAAACAAATCTACAAATCACAAAAACCCACAACAATAAACTCTGAGAAGGAGACTGAATCTGATTTCCAGAGTGACCACACTATAATATTCTAAATTTCTAGTATTCAACAATAAATTATAAGGCATAGAAAGAAAAAAGAAAGCATGGCCCATTCACAGAAAAATATTATTAGAAACTGTCCCAGGGATACCCAGATATTATACTTACTAAACAAAGACATTAAATTATTTTAAATATGCTCCAAGAACTAAAGGAAAGCATCGACAAAGAACTATAAGAAACCAGGAAAACAGTGTCTCAACTAATAGAGATTATTAATAAAGGGATAGAAATTAGAGAGTAATGTCAGCAAGATGGCTGATTAGAGACACCTGGCATTCATTCTTCCAACATGCAAGGACCAAGGCGATGAATAAACAGCTAATATTTGATGAGACTGTTGAAGGGATAGCTCTAGGGTGCAGCATAGTTGTGGAGACACACCTGTAGTGACTGGAAGTTCAAGAGGGCCGTGTGAGGTACCTGATCTCTGCAGCTCCAACTCCTCTGTCCAGATAAGATCTTCCCAGAGTCAAGAGGGACTTTCCATTCTGGGGAAAAGTGTAGTCCACTGAGAAACTCACACGTGCTACTGTATGAATTATAACTGAAGAAACTGAATGGAGACTACACTACTGCATGTACCTAGAAGCAAGGCCAACACACCCACTGAACTGACACCCCAAGACCTATTCATATGAATAAGTATTTCCCTACGAAACCTACTCCATAAAATTGAAAAAGGTGACTTTTCCACCAGATATATAGAAATCAACATGGAAGCCGGGCTCAGCCTGTAATCCCACACCTTTGGGAGGCTGAGGTGAGTGGATTGCCTGAGCCCGCGGGTTCAAGACCTGCCTGGGCAGCGAGACCTCATCTCTACAATAAATCAAAAAATCAGCCGGGTATAGTAGCGCGTGCCTGTAATTTCGGCTACTTGGAAGGCTGAGGCGGAAGGATCGCCGGAGCGCAGCAGGTCGAGGCTGTGGTGGCCGGGAGCAGCCACTGCACTCCAGTCTGGGTGACAGAGTAAGACTCCAACTCAAAAAAAAAAAAGAATCAAACAAATCACAAAGCTGAAGAATTTAATAAAAGAAATAAAAAATCCAGTCAAGCACTCCAACAACAGACTAGACCAAGCAGAAAGAAAGAATTTCTGAACTGTATGACAGACTTTTTGAAATAAAACATGCAGACAAAAAAAAATTTTTTAAATAAAGCCTACAGGATTTATGGGATACCATGAAGAAAACAAATATTCATATAATTAGCATTCCGGAAGAAGATAAGGGAAAAAGTGAAAAAACTGTTAATGAAATTATAGCAGAAAACTTCTCAAATCTTAGGAGAAAGTTGAACATTCAAGTCCAGGAAGATCAAGCAAACCCAAATAGAGTCAACCCAAGTAATTTCTCTCTAAGGCACATTATAATAAAATTTTCAAAAGTCGAGACAAAGACAGAATTACAAAAGCAGCAAAAACAAACTAATAATTAAATAATAATTTTAAGAAATCAAGGCACATATAAGGGAATCTCCATTAGACTAACAGTGGATTTTTCAGCAGAAACCTTACAGACCAAGATGGCTGACTGAAGACACTGCACGATGGTAACTCTCTGCAAAGAAATATATATGGAGAATAGAACTAGGGCTTTGAGGGTCAACCTGAAAACTCAAGCTGAAGTTTATCAGTTGTTCATCTGGGAATACAGTAAATGGACAGTTCCAAGCCCTGGACATCCCTATAAGTAGTCCTAATACAAAAACAGGAGTGCACCTTTGGAGATGGAAGAGGTGAGTGAAAATGACAGCTTTTCTTCTCTACACACCTAACTTAAGCCTCTGCAGTCTCGGCAAATGTAGAGATGGCCTAAACCCTCCCCGACCCTGCACCTCACCAGCACCAACCAGGCACAAAGTGCTGCTCTAAATAGAGACAGAGTCATAGGAAGGAGTAACACGAAGCCTGGGGGAACTGGTTCCCAGAAGCCCTGGGTCATCGCTGCCAACTCCTCCATGGAGAGGCTCAGTGAGAAACACCTTGTGGGGGTGGTTTGTGCCACACAGGTACTCACCCCCTCCTCCCTTCCCAGCACCCAGCAGAGGCAACCACAGATATTGCACTTCACAGATATTGCAGCCCTAGGTCAGGGCTGCTGATGTGGTTTGCCCTAAGAGGGCTGCCATTATTGCCATAGCTCCTCCCACAGAGCAGAAAGGAATCTAAGAGGCAGAGGCAGGGCACATCTGCACAGTGCAGTAGTGGCAGTGGCCTTGCCCACTTATGGACTTAGGGTGAAATAACAACCCCCCAGTGCTTCCCTTCTTCTGGGTGAAAGGGGTGGTCCCACCCAGACAGGAGGAGGCCACTCCACACCCCTAAAGAGCCACAGGGCCTTGCCTGGTGGCCTGCCAATCCTACCAACAACACAAGAGGTTTGGGAAGAAGGACTCCAGAACTCCAACCAGGAACCCTGTTGCTGGTGCCAGAGGGAAGGGAAAGCCCCTGAAATAAAAAGATATCACCCCATGCCAGCCAGACTACACCAATGAAGCAGTTCCAGGTTTATGCATACTTCACTACCTTTCCTGCCACCACTGTCCCTTGTCACAGGTGGAAGAGAGGAAGGAGGTCAGGCAAACACACACACACACACACACACACACACACGCATGCATGCACACACAGACTTTCTCTCACACACACAAATGTCCACCCCAACAGTAGTAATCTTATCTAATTAAAAATAAACAAATAAATAAATAAAAAGAGAAAAGTTTACCCTCACAGATGAGAAAGAATTAGTGAAAATACACCAGCAATCCCCAAAGTCTTAATGAGTCAGCAACCACATAAAAGGGCTTCCCAGATCCAAAGCAATGGAACCCATCCATGGAATGAGCTGTACCTGATGATATAGAACTCAGACTATGGGTAGTAAAGATACTCAGTGAGATCCATGAAAAGGTGGACAAACAGATCATCCAGGCAACAAAAACAGTGCAGGAAGTGAAAGCTGAGCTGTCCCTTATAAGAAAGGTCCAGAGCCGGGTTCGGTGGCTCAGCCTGTAATCCTGTGCCTTTGGGAGGCTGAGGTGAATGGATTGCCTGAGTCCGCGGGTTTGAGACCCGCCTGGGCAGGCGAGACCTCATCTCTACAATAAAATTAAAAAATTAGCCGGGCATGGTAGCGCGCACCTATAATTCCGGCTACTTGGAAGGCTGAGGCGGAAGGATCACCGGAGCCCAGCAGGTCGAGGCTGCGGTGGCCGGAAGCGGCCACTGCACTCCAGTCTGGGTGACAGAGTGAGACTCCAACTCAAAAAACAACAACAACAACAACAAAAATAGGTATGGTCACGTTCCTTTAAAAAAAATGAGGAAACAGCCGAGCTCGTTGGCTCAGCCTGTAATCCCACGCCTTTGGGAGACTGAGGTGAGCGGATTGCCTGAGCCCGCGGGTTCGAGATCTGCCTGGGCACCTTGACCAGACCTCATCTCTACAATAAATCAAAAAATTAGCCGGGCGTGGTAGTGCGCGCCTGTAGTTCCAGCTACTAGGCAGGCTGAGGCAGAAGGATCGCCGGAGCCCAGCAGGTCGAGGCTGCGGTGGCCGGCAGCGGCCACTGCACTCCAGTCTGGGGGGCAGAGTGAGACTCCAACTCAAAAATAAAAAATAAAAAAATAAAATAAAAGAATAAAAATAAATTAAAAATGAGGAAACTGTATCTTTATGACCAGGACTGAAACTCAGTCATGTTCTATCATACTCCAAAGCCAGTGTAAATTCTACTTCACGTATGAATAGATAATATTGTCTTTCATAATATCACCTACACTGAGGAATTGTTAAAAGGATTAAATGAAATAACATTAATAGGAATTGCCACAAATTCATATTATCAATATTTTTGAGTTTAAATAATTGTTTATTAATTTTTAGGTATATTTCAAATAGCCAATTTTTTTAATTCACTGCTTATACAAAGTCAGGAACAGTTCTAAGCATTTAAAATGTCATCATTCGGCTCGGTGGCTCAGCCTGTAATCCCGCGCTTTGGGAGGCTGAGGTGAGTGGATTGCCTGAGCTCGCGGGTTCGAGACCCGCCTGGGCATGGCGAGACCTCATCTCTACAATAAAATTAAAAAATTAGCCGGGCATGGTAGCGCGCACCTATAATTCCGGCTACTTGGAAGGCTGAGGCGGAAGGATCACCGGAGCCCAGCAGGTCGAGGCTGCGGTGGCCGGAAGCGGCCACTGCACTCCAGTCTGGGTGACAGAGTGAGACTCTAACTCAAAAAAATAAATAAATAAATAAAAAGAAGGGTCCAATCTGAACTTCTGAAAATGAAGAATTCTCTCCTAGAATTTCAAAACACAATAGCAAGCTTCAACAGCAGAATCAGCCAAGCAGAGGAAAGACTCTCAGAGGTTGAAGATCAAACTTCTGAACTAACCCTGGGTAACAAAAGCAAAGAGAAAAGACTTAAGAAGAATGAGCAATGCATATGATAAGTTTGGCATTATGTAAAGAGACCAAATCTATGGCTGATTGGCATCCATGAGAGACAAAAGGAAACTGT